GGGTATATTCCAACTATAGGGGGATCACACTCCTCAGCCTCCCTGGAAAGGTCTACTCCAAGGTACTGTAGAGGAGGGTCCGATCGATAGTTGAATCTCAGATTGAGGAGGAGCAATGTGGTTTTCGTCCTGGCCGTGGAACCGTGGACAAGCTCTATACCATTGCAAGGGTGATGGAGGGGGCATGGGAGTTTGCCCAACCAATCCACATGTGTTTTGTGGATTTGGAGAAGGCTTATGACCGTGTCCCCTGGGTCACCCTGTGGGGGACACTCCAGGAGTATGGGGTGGGTGGCTTCCTGTTAAGGGCCATTCAGTCCCTTTAACAGAGGAGTGTGAGTTTGGTCTGCATAGCCGGAAGTAAGTCGAACCTGTTCCCGGTGAGGGTTGGACTCCGCCAGGGCTGCCCTTTGTCACCGGTTCTGTTCATTACCTTTATGGACAGAATTTCTAGGTGCAGCCATGGTGTGGAGTGTGTCGAGTTTGGTGGCAGGAGAATCTCGTCTCTGCTTTTTGCAGATGAAGTGGTCCTCCTAGCTTCATCCAGCTCTGATCTTCAGCTCTTGCTGGGTAGGTTCACGGCCAAGTGTGAAGCGGCTGAGATGAGTATCAGCACCTCCAAATCTGAGACAATGGTTCTTGACCGGAAAAGGGTGGCTTGCCAACTCTGGGTCGGGAGAGAGGCCCTACCGCAAGTGGAGGAGTTTAAATATCTCTGGGTCTTGTTCACGAGTGAGGGTAGGACGGATCGGGAGGCAATCGACAGGCGGATTGGTTCAGCGTCTGCAGTGATGCGGACGCTGATTGGATCTGTCGTGGTGAAGAGGGAGCTGAGCCAGAAAGCCAGGCTCTCAATTTACCGGTCGATCTACGTCCCAATCCTCACCTATGGCCATGAGCTTTGGGTAATGACCAAAAGAACGAGATCGCGGATACAAGCGGCCGAAATGAGTTTCCTCCATAGGGTGGCCGGGCTCAGCCTTAGAGATAGGGCGAGGAGCTTGGACATTCGGGAGGGACTCGGAGTAGAACCGCTGCTCCTCCGAATCGAAAGGAGCCAGTTGAGGTAGTTTGGGCATCTGGTCAGGATGCCTCCTGGACGCCTCCCTGGGGAGGTGTTTCGGGCATGTTCTGCCGGCAGGAGGCCCTCGGGTCGACCCAGGACACGTTGGAGAGGTTACATCTCCAATCTGGTCCGGGAACGCCTTGGGGTCCTGCCGGAGGAGCTGGTGGAGAAGGCCAGGGAGAGGACGGTCTGGAGCTCCCTAGTTGGGATGCTGCCCCCGCGACCCGGCCCCGATAAGCGGAGGAAGACGACGACGACTATTTGCAGATGACACTACCTTATTTTATTCAGGAGAAAATATAAAAGATGTTTTAAATGTAGTTGAAAATTAATTAACAAAAATTAAAATATGGTTTGATTTCAATAGGCTTTCTTTAAATATCGATAAAACTAACTTTATAGTTTTTTGTAGTAGTAAAAAAAAGTGCTGATGCATCAATAAATGTTGAAGAAATTGAGATAGAAAGAGTAAAAGAAGTTAAGTTTTTAGGTGTTATTATTGACGAACACTTATCGTGGATCTCTCACTTAAACTATATTAAAATTAAAATATTTAGAGCTATTTCAGTACTAAATAAGACGAAGGAATTCTTGAACATAAAAGCTTTGCATATTCTGTATAACTCATTAATTCTTCCATATCTGACATATTGTATCGAAGTATGGGGAAGTACCTGCAAAACATATACGCATTCAAATTTTCTTTTACAGAAAAGAGCAGTGAGAGTTATTAGTGGAAGTGGATTCAGGGATCATACTGATCCAATGTTTTCACAGCTAGACCTAATGAAATTTGACAAACTAGTTGAATATAATTAATTAAAATTTATGTACAAAGCACATAAAGGAATTCTACCAATTCAAAAGAAATTAGTAAAAAGAGAAAGTAATTCTAATCTAAAAGGAACTGATATTTTTAAAAAATCAAGATTCCGAACAGCAATAATGGAAAGATGTATCTCAGTTAAAGGTGTCTATTTATGGAATAGACTCAACAGTGAAATAAAACGATCTAAATCATTTTCTGTATTTAAAAAAAAATTGAAACGTATCATGATGAAGTAATAAGAACTTAAGTAGGCTGATTGACTTGTTTTGTGTTGGGGTGGGGGTTAGATGAACGCAATTCTTTGAGTTGAACAGCTAATGTCTTCTTGATGTGAAAAGGGGGCAGATATTATAAATTTTTGCTTCTTTCTGCTCGTTTTCATTTACGATTATTTGTGAACATGAATTGTTTTAATGTAACTTTAATTTGATTGATTGAATGAAATAAACGAAACAAAATGAAACTAAACTAAACTAAACTAAACTTCTAGCCAGAGGGGCTGCAGGTTCCTAACCAGAGAGGTAGCCTTGTCCCCACATCTGTGTCTCAACACGAGACGCAGCAGGAGAAAAATTTAAGTTTGGTTAACGTGTTTTTGTCTGGAGACCAAAAACATCTGAGAATGTGAGCTCAAGACTAGCTGGAAGGACATCATTTACGTTAGCAGCGTTAGAGAGAGGATGCTGCATCATGTAATGGAAATGCTGGAAATGTAAACACGCTCGTGCACGCAGGCACGCACACGCAATTAAAGAATTGTTAACCAGTTTGATAGTTGTGATTTTCTACATTTTAAGTACATCTTATATAAAAGTTCTAGCTTGTGTTTACAATGGCCAAGAATAACTTTTTAAGTGCATGAACCCGATTAAGCAGACGAGAAACCACACGGGTGAGCTCTATTAACATGAGTGATAATAAGGCCATGCTTGTTCGAGGTAAATGGAGCTGTTGTTGGGTGGGCCTACCTATCAGCACCACTGCTGGGATGCTCAGAGGTCAAAGATCACTGCTGACTTCCAGTCATGTGGCTCCACTGCTTCTGCCCCCAGCAAGGAAGTTCCCAGGGATTTCTTGGGTAAGAGGAATGACCGTTACACAGTAAAGTTTTATACATACACTTGATTAATCAGATGAGAGGAGAAACCACATGAGAGACAATGAGGCCATGTTGCTACGAGGTAAATGGAGCTGTTGTTGGGTGGACCTACCTATCAGCTCCACTGTTGTCACGCTCACAGGTCAAAGATCACTGCTGACTTCCAGTCATGTGGCTCTTCTGTTCTTTAACCCCAGAAAGGAAGCTTCCAGTGATTTATTGGTTAATATGTCAACAGTTTGGGTTTTACTCTGTGGTGTGAAAACAGTTGTTGTTGTTGTTGATGTTGAATAAAACTGGTTTGATTTCATTTTGATTCAGTGAGTCATGGTGGATGGCTGCTTATACTGAGCCAGGATCCTCTGGAGCAGGGGTGGGCAATCCTGGTCCTCGAGGGCCGCTATCCAGCAGGTTTTAGTTGTTTCTCTGCATAAACACACCTGGCTTGAATCTGCTGGTGATTAACAGGATGTTGCAGAGCCTGATGAGCTGCTGAACAGGTGATTTATCCAGGAATCAGGGGTGTTGGAGCAGAAAGAAGCTAAAACATGCTGGATAGCGGCCCTCGAGGACCAGGATTGCCCACCCCTGCTCTGGAGGTTTCTTCCTGTTAAAAGGGAGTTTTCCTCTCCACTGTCGCTAAATGCTTGCTTAGTATGAGGATTGCTGTAAAGACTCTGACACTAGTCAGTGACTCGATGCAACCTGCTGGGTTCCTTATGTAGGAAACATTTTCCTGATTGGCTTAATGAACTTTTCTCGACCGGAAAAGGGTGGCTTGCCACCTCCGGGTCGGGGGAGAGGTCCTACCTCAAGTGGAGGAGTTTAAGTATCTCGGGGTCTTGTTCACGAGTGAGGGTAGGAGGGATCGGGAGATCGACAGGCGGATTGGTTCGGCGTCTGCAGTGATGCGGACGCTGAGCCGATCTGTCGTGGGGAAGAGGGAGCTGAGCCAGAAAGCCAGGCTCTCGATTTACCGGTCGATCTACGTCCCAATCCTCACCTATGGTCATGAGCTTTGGGTAATGACCGAAAGAACGAGATCGCGGATACAAGCGGCCGAAATGAGTTTCCTCCGTAGGGTGGCCGGGCTCAGCCTTAGAGATGGGGTGAGGAGCTCGGACATTCGGGAGGGACTCGGAGTAGAACCGCTGCTCCTCAAGATCGAAAGGAGCCAGTTGAGGTGGTTTGGGCATCTGGTCAGGATGCCTCCTGGACGCTTCCCCGGGGAGGTGTTTCGGGCATGTCCTGCCGGCAGAAGGCCCCCGGGTCGACCCAGGACACGTTGGAGAGGTTACATCTCCAATCTGGTCCGGGAACGCCTTGGGGTCCTGCCGGAGGAGCTGGTGGACAAGGCCGGGGAGAGGACGGCCTGGAGCTCCCTAATTGGGATGCTGCCCCCGCGACCCGGACCCGGATAAGCAGAGGAAGACGAAGACGAAGACGAAGGCTTAATGAACTGACCTGAATTGGAATGTTTGTTATGTGAAGTGACTTGAGACGACTCTTGTCGTGATTTGGAGCTATATAAATAAACTTGAATTGAATTTTAAATTCTATTGATGCACAAAAAAAGTTTTGATTCTTGAATTTTAAAAACAAAACACAGCTGTTCATGCTCCTATTATTATTATTATTATTATTATTATTATTATTATTATTATTATTATTATCATCATTATTGCTGATTTTCTTTATGCTGTTGGTGACATCGCAGACACACCTGAAAGCTGGGTGCTGGAGGCATGCACTGACTCCCACACTCAGAGATTCACCTGCACATCTACGTCAGCAAACCCAAAATCTCACAGCAGCAGCTACAGAACACCTACCAGCTACAAAAGCTCACTGAATGAAATGTGACAAGGTGTTGTTACCCCAACCCCACCCCCAACACACACACACACACACAAATCCCTGTGTGTCTTGTGTCTTCCGGGAACGCTAATAGGCTCCATGCAGAGTAATGTGACCGATTGAATCATTCTCGCCCCAGAGCCCGACGCTGCACGCTGCAGTGACGCTCAGAGCAGCTCTCTGTCCAGCGCCGACACACACTGGCCCCTCTGGACTTACACTTTCTGCACTTTTTGCTTCAAACCCCATTTTTGGGGTATTTCAAACCCAGTCTTCCAAGGATCTATAGGGACTCTTGTCAGCTCTTTTTGTGCTCAGCAGAGCTTTAAGCCAGTCTGAGGTGAACAGGTCAGAGCGCACCGCTTCAGTCCAGACTGCAGCTCCAGGTGAGTACGTACTGCTGTTGACCTCACCTAGAACATGACAGAATCCCTCAGTAGAGATGAAGATTTCATCCGTATTTAGGTTCTGATCATCAGACCTGGTTTACTGACTCAGCTCAACTAAAAGCCTTTCTAACCAGTTCAGTAACCTGCAGGTTTTACACAATTGCACAATCTTATCTTCACAAGGATATAGACCATTTCTGCTTCTGACGTGTTTGTTCTGTGATAAAGTGGAAAAAGACGTTGTTGCTGACCCAACATTACATAAACATCAAGGTTTATGTAATGAATCATCTTCTTTACCATTTTCTTATATCTGTGCACACAGATGGTTTAAATCCAAACTAAAGACATTATTACAGTAAAGTTAAAAAAAACTCCACTGCTCTTGGGAAATCACGGTCTTGGAGCTAAAGTCCCTTTTTTTCTTTCTGACAAACGTGTTTTCATAGATCCAACTATTAAAATAAGAACAACTTGTGTCTTTGTGAGAACCTGCTAGGAAGTAAGAGCCTTAAGATCTGATTGAACACTCTACGTTGAGTTTCATCTCGTTTATTTCCTGTGTTTAGGGGCCTTTTCATGTCAGAGTGATTCACAGGGCAAAGCCTATTGTCACAAACCAAGAATGATTTCTCTGGGAGAGGTTAGGATACAAAATCCAAAACAGGGTGAAAAGTAGTCAAAGTCCCTCAGAAGGTCCAGACCTCTTTAAGAGATGACAAGAAAGTCTGGTTGTTTGGATGGAAAATGTAAAGAAATGAAGAAGTTTTAGAAGAAAACAAGTTTTCATCTTTGTCATTATCCTCGGGCGTTGTGACTAGACGGTCCTGTTGAGGGATACGGGGAGGTGGGGATACTAGTTCGCTGAAGCAGAACTTATCAACGGAGGTTTCTGTGTTCTAGAACACATTCCAAATGTCCTTTAGAGCAAAAAGTTTTCAAACTTTCAAACAGAACACAGGTGTGTTATTGTCAGATATGCTGTACTGGTTTATTGCTGGTCTATGGTCAAAAGAGAGCGGGATGAAAACATTTATATAGAGTGGAGATGAAGAGGAACAGCCTGCCTCATCTGGAAAAGACAACTCTGTAGGTTTACGTCTACTGCAATCGTAACGTTTCGTGATGGCAGTATGTCTCAAATCTGGAAAGTTAAGAAGAGTGATCAGATTCACAGTTCCTCTTTGACATGAAAATAAATGTCACCCCAACAAAAACATTCCACTGCATTTGTGAAGAAGGCCTCAGGCAGCACAAAAAAGTCCAGCAGCACCAGGGCCGCCTGAAGTTGATCCAGCTGCAGGATCAGAGCTGCACCAGAGCAGGTGTGAGTTCATCTGCAGCTCAGAAAGCAGAAGGCTTTAGGAGGATGGCCTTGTGTCGAGAAGAACAGCAAAGAAGCCTTTTTTCTCCAAGACATCCGTCAGAAACAGACTCGGGTCCAGGGACTGGGCCGCCACGGACCGGAGGAAAGTTACTGGTCTTCCAACAGAAGCGCATCCTGAGACTGTTTGTGTGTGTGTGTGTGTGTGTGTGTGTGTGTGTGTGTGTGTGTGTGTGTGTGTGTGTGTGTGTGTGTGTGTGTGTGTGTGTGTGTGTGTGTGTGTGTGTGTGTGTGTGTGTGTGTGTGTGTGTGTGTGTGTGTAGGGGTGCTTCTCAGCCAAGGGAGGGGACTCACTTACTCACAGTTTGCCACAGAACAGTCGTGAATAATGGTGGTACCTAAACATCCTCCCAGAGGAACTCCTCCAACTATCCAGCAACAGTTTGGGGATGAACAATGCCTTCTCCAGAAAGATGGAGATCTGGTCCAGAAGGATAAAGTCAGAACTAAATAGGTCAGGAACAAAATATCATTGTGATGGGTCCAGCCCCAGGAAACTCTGACCAGAATCCCTTTGAACAGTTGTGATGAATCCTCAACTGGCAGATAGAAAAGCAAAAACCTACAAAGTGTGGGTCCCACACACTGATGATGAAGAATGAGCTCCATCAGTCAGGATCTGGACCAGAGGTTAAATGACAGCATGCCAGGGAGAACTACAGAGAACTGACCTGAAGAACTTGTAATTACACTTCTGTAACCATGGAAACCAGCACACAGGTTATCCTCTAAAATCTTGACCATGTCTGTCAACTAAAGCAGATTTATTTCCTCTCAAACGGTTTTAAACTGGTGTACAAAGGTCCCAGAGGGGCAGAATGTGGTTTTTTGCTTCAGGTGTTCATACTAAGATAGTTTATGCTACACACCATCAGACCTAAACAGACCGTGAGGTGAACGCTGATGTTCTTTTCTCTTCAGAAGTTTTCTCATGACAAAAAATTTAACCGAAACAAACTTTGATCAAATCCTCCTCAGTCACAACCAAATTTCTGATAAACGGCTCTGCAGCACGACGACGACGTTTGTGACGGCAGCCGGTTGTGCTGACCTTATTCATCGTGATAAAACCGAGTGCTTACTGCGTGGTAAACAAACACGTATGTACATGATGCGTGGGTAATAATGCTCATGCAAACTGCTGTTTGTTATTGGTGAAGCACACAGGTGTAGAGCCATGCAGAGCCAGCTCCCTGCAGATGAAAGACACATTCCTACTCTGCATGTTGCTGTGTTGCTCAGACGGAGTCCCAGCTGAGAGCTGCTCTAATCTCCTGGCAACAATATTGACATAGAAATAGAAACTCTGTGTAACACAGAACCCTGGCTGTCTGGTTGTCAGACTGCCAGCACATGCATCTGCTTCATTTGTCTAAATGAGTCATGACGGTTCCATACGTTGGTGATTTAACAGAGCGGTCCTCAGACATGACTGCGTGCTGTTTTACTGAACTTAAATACATCGATTACGTTCCTGTTCATGTTCAGCTGAAGAGCTAAACCTATCAAATACAAGACCGGTCCCAAAATGAGCATCTAATACATGCCAGTGTGAGGTTTCCTCAAACATCACTAAAGGTTTACAGTAAATCAGGTGAAAAGGGCCAGATTTAAGCTGAACTAAAATGCCTTTCATGTACGCTTTCTGCATTTCAGTCGTCCCAATTCTTAGAAATGCCTGCTTCACATTTGTACCCGTCCTTGTGTGAGATCCAGGTTATGATTGCGTTTCCACAAAAACATTTCTGTCCATCATGATTCCTCTTGAAAACGCGACATTTGGAAGCCGTATTCCCCGCAGACGGCGCCTTTCTCTGTGACCCAGTTGAACTCGGCCGCTCGCATGTCTGACCGGCTCTTCTAGATTTTTGCCTCCAGCTGTTTCTCTGTGATCTTTTTGCCGCGTGTAGATTCTCTTATTGAGAGACGCCCAAACACTGTGGTCCAACAGATAGCGGTCTGGACTCATTCATCCTTTTTATGAATGCAGGAACTCCATCCTCCAGCCCGCAGGCTTGAATGAGATGTGCTATCTCGGCAGAATACGAAAAAGTAGCTCAGGACAAAACCGTTAACAGCCGGTGGGACGTCCATAAACATGGCGCCCATCTGACAGCATGTTTAGGTGGAATCAGCGGGACAAAGTGGAGCTACTTTTATTTTAAACCAAGTTAGAATCCTTGATCTCACACAAGGATGAATCTGGATGTTTCTGGAGATGTTTAGAACATCCGTGTGCCGTAGAAAGAACATTTGAATACATTGATGCCAGGCTTTTTGAGCTAGCTGTTGTGGAAACCGGTCTCATTCTTTTGCCGTGAAGTGTTCATTTAACCTTTAACCATGTCCACATAACCTTTGTAAGATACTTGAGTCAGAATGGCAGAAACAGGCTGGTTTTTGGGTTGTAGTGCATGTTAAACCTACCTGCTCAGAGATGAGTTCAAACCAAAGCAACTAAAATAAAAACGTGGATTCTGCATGAGAAGCAATAAAAACTTGTGAAAACAGTAAATAAACTGCAGTTGTTTTCACATACACCCTCACCCCCTGATACTTACCACACCTTTTGTTTGATTTGCTTTCTAGGAAGTTTCTCATCGCCTGCTTGACATCTACCAGCAACCATGACAACCAAATCCAATAGTTGTGTTTTGGCTGGCAAAGCTTCCTCCTCTCCGATTTTGTCCTCTCCACCTTGTCAGCGCTTGGTTACAAAAGATGGACGCTGTGCTCTTAATCCCATGCTCTGCCCCTCAGACTCACGGTGCAGGGGCTGGAGCAGAGTCTGGTTGCTGGCCTTGCAGGACATGTGGGGAATGTTGGTGAGTCTGCGCTGGAGATGGGTTCTGCTTGCCTTCTGTGCCTCCTTCATTGCCCACTGGCTGCTGTTTGCCTGCTTGTGGTACTTACTAGCCCACCTCAACGGAGACCTCGCAGTTCAAGACCACGATCACCCACCACAGGGTCACGTGGTTTGTGTGAAATACATCACCAGCTTCACTGCTGCCTTTTCTTTTTCTCTGGAGACACAGTTAACCATTGGCTATGGCACCATGTTCCCCAGTGGAGACTGTCCCAGTGCCATCGCACTGCTAGCTGTGCAGATGCTGCTGGGGCTAATGCTGGAAGCATTCATCACAGGTACCATTCTCAATGAAACCTTCAAAGATAGTTCTGATGTTTTCTGAAGAGGCTTTATGTGCACTAGACTTCTGCTCCTTCAAAGGCTAAGCTCACATCTGTCTGGCATAAAAAAACAGCACAGGTAAAGGTGGCAGAATGAGGGCAAAACACACTGACTGTAGATGACCCATTTAAAATGCACCTCCAGCATAGGAGTATGATCTCCAGATGATTTGTGGTGTAGCTTCCACCCAGTTCTATTTCTAAGCATCAACGCACCTGGAATAAAAAACACATCTTGTTTTCATTCACCGTGCAGGCATCCAGGCTCTAGGAGCAGCTCTTCTCTGCTTTTACAGCATTTCGGTCATGCTTATGTTAGATAATAAGGATAAACTAACTAACTAATGTCTGAATTGTTTAAAAAAATTAATTTAAACATATGTTTATCTTAAATAGACCTAACAGTTGTATGATAATTTACATTGGCTTCAATTAAAGCTGTGAGTGAGACAAAGAGATCTGTGGCGCATCAACACGTTGCGCATGAGTGTATATATGTGTCTATTCATCAATCACACTCATTGATACATACCTTATGATAATTAATGCACAAGTAAGTGCAATTACTCTATGATTGGCAGACAAGCGTAACTCGTAAATGCAACATATTTCTATTCAGATTCTCATTTATATTCTATATATTATATTATATTCAGTGATAAGTGGGGTGTGTGTGTGTGTGTGTGTGTGTGTGTGTGTGTGTGTGTGTGTGTGTGTGTGTGTGTGTGTGTGTGTTTTGCATATGCAATGAATTGTTGTGAACTTTTTGCTTAAAATGTCTAACTTAAGTTCTCTTTAATTAAATTTGAGGAAAAAAAATTAAGAAAAAATAACTTTTCCATGAAAAAGAAGTCAGGTTAGCAGGACTGTGTGTGTTAATCACCAGTCACATAGTTAAACTGGCTCGGAACGCTGCAGAGAGCTGCCATCACAGTTGCTATATGCAATAGAAATCAAAGAGATTACTTTAGTTTTAAAGGATGCTCATAAATTGGCTGGTGATATAACAGCAGCAACAACAAAAATTATCCTTTATTGGAACATTACTCCCCGCTTTTGATCCGTCCCTAAGGAGCTGTGGGCTGCAAATCTGTTTCAGGCCTCGGGCACAACTCTCAGGTATTAATGTATCTTCATACAGGAATAATGAGAAAATGTGCAGAAAAACTGTATTTGAACTGTGATCCTCTGCAGAAGCTCACTTAACAAATTAATTTAAAAAACAATAATTTGAATTACCTTTTCCAATCATGTGAACGTCCCTTTCCTATTAACTGGATCCTGACCCATCTGTCACACTGCTGCTCTCAGCCTGTTGCACATGGACCCCTTTGTGCACAAACTGCATGCTCTCAGCTCAACAGGAAGTAAAGCCAGATCCGGGCTGCCTAGTTTAACAGATGGCATGTCCTGCTCTCTTTGCAAATGTCCTTTAAGGAGTTGTTTTATGTGTTCTGTTTAGAGTCTGTTCTTGTGGGGAAACTTTTAGGTGACGGAGCTGTTGCCTGGTAACTGCTGTCCTCTGGCGGAGCTGTGAGTCTAACACCCGTGTGCGCGTGTCAAAAGGAGGAAGTGAGGTTCGGTTCAGAGCGGGCTCTGGAAGCTTTGACCTGTCCTCGCCAGAGCTGTGTGTCGGTGTTGCAGGATTTTCTGCAACCATCAGATTCTGCAACACAGATGTTTACATAGCTCTGTTTATGTTTACTTTTAAAATGCAGTCAAAGCTTAGATTTTCTGGGTATTTTTTTAATTCATGAACTCTGTAAAATGTTATGAATGAGGGGCGGGGCTGTGTGTGAGTGACGCGCAGCAGCTGAAGGTTATGGAGTCATGTGATTTAGCACCAAAATCTCTGGAGAGAGGACAAGCAGGGACACGCATTTGACGCCCGCGTTGACACGGACATCTCACGTCGAACCTCTATCGATTTAACCTTCCCCTCACCCCCGTCCTACCCTTAACCCAGCAATTTTCAATTAAGCGTTTCATGCACCAGCTAGTTAAGGTTAGAATGGGGGTGAGGGGAAGGTTAAGTAGTTCACAAGTCGGTCAAATGTTCTTCTCACCACGGGCGTCGGATACCGATGCTCTGGGACAGTGCGTCCTCAATTCGTCCTCTCCTGACGCGCTGGGGCACTCCGAATCGTCATATTTTGACGCTTCGGGTGTGAGAATGTGATGCCAAAGTGTATCACTGAAAAAGATTTTAGTTATTGTTCAGTACTAAGGAGACACAGAGCTAGCTTGAGCTATTGCTAACCTCCTGTTTGGAAAACAGCAAAGAGCACCAATCAGGATGGGAATGTCCAGACTTTGAAAGAATGCTATTTAGATCCACAGCCCCCACACACACCCTCCCTGCCCCTGATGGAACCGTGCACACGTCCTCGACCCGTCAGGTATAAATTCTATATAGAGGCTCAAAGAATTTCCAACGACAAATAGAAAGTAGTACTAGGTCCCCTTTAAAGATGATTCTGCAAACTGAGAGATTCGTTGAACAAGTCCATCAAGATTCTTTTACAAAATGAGGATTTAAAACAGAGACGTGTTTGTTAAACATGCCCACATCGCTAGCTAGGGTCTGGAGAGCCTGGAGGGCATCACCAGATGATGCCTTGCATTGATTAGAGGAGGTCTTCCATTCATTTAGACAAATATGTAGAAGACATCAGCAGTGAGGTCAGGTGAGTGAGAGGTGGGCGTGTTTGTAAGTTCTTACAGGAAGGGGGGCGAGATGAAGCCAATAAGAATGTTGATGTGGGGAGGCACAACATCCAGCGGAGGTGATGAACTGATGCAGAGGGACAGAGAAGAAGCTGGGGTTAGTAAGGTCGCTGAATCCAGTTTCCAAAATCTTTAATCCAACAGTCTTTATCCAAAATCCATTATTCAAACACAGTAGTCAAGTAACAGGCGAGGGCCAGGCACCAGAAAAAAAGATCCGAAACTCCAGCAGAGCCTTACAGCACTGCTGGGGGTGAACTGTGTGTGTGTGTGTGTGTGTGTGTGGGGGGGGGGGGGGGGGGGGGGGGGGGGGGTAGTCCAAAAGTCAGGAACCAGAACCGTGAATCACAAACTCAGCAACACTTGAGCTCACAGGACAAGTCGTGATGGAGGACTATGAGTTTATACTGGGGCCTTATGCAGCCTGCTGTAGTGGTTTACAATCGTGCTATATTTTAAATTAAAACAACAACAACAACAAATTGGGGTTTTAGGGCAGGAGCACATGCATGAGAAAACATAAAGTATATTTAATGACTGGATGTGGCTCGGGGGCTGCAGCTGGTGAATGTACACTTACCCGTACCTGATTACTGAGAGCTTCAGTCTCATTTCACCCCAGAATGTTCGGCTTGTTAGCCGTTCTGCCGTTGAAACTGAGCGTTTTTTTCTTGTTCTGAGCTGATAGAGAGATATCTTCAGAGTAACAAGTCATCTCATCGTGACTGTTGGGTTGTCTTGTCTTTCAGGTGCGTTTGTAGCCAAGATAGCACGACCTCAGAAGCGAGCTGGAGTCATCCAGTTCAGCCCCCAGGCTGTGGTGGGTCAAAACCAGGGTCAGACCTGCCTCATGATACGAGTCACCAATCTCTTGCAGCGACCTCTGGTAGACGTGAAGGTGAACGCTGTGCTCTATGAAGAGCATGAAGGTCAAGCTCTCCACCAGACCTCTGTGGACTTCCACTTGGACCATTTGGGCCAGCAGCCATGCCCTTTCTTTATTTTTCCTCTTACATTTTACCATCCACTGGACCGTCAAAGTCCCCTCTACTCCACCCTGTGTGAAGGCTCATCCAAGCACTTTGAGTTGGTGGTCTTCCTTACAGCTTCACAGGAGGGAACTGGTGACTCGTGCCAGAAGAGAACCTCCTACCTGCGCCAGGAAATCCAGTATGATCGCCGATTCTTGCCCGCATTGGGGCTGGATGATCAGGGCAGGTACTTGGTGAGCAATCAGCACTTTGACACAACCCGCTCCAAGGAGCCACTGAACAAGGACTGTGTGGTGCAGATCAACGGTGATGGAAGTGACAGGATGGAGTAAAAGCAAGAAGAGCGGGAAGTTTCTGATGCTTACCAATATGATGTCAGAAGTTCTAGCATGAGTAGTTTGTATTCCCACCAGTCAAAGACTCAAGTCCCCCTTAATGTGCTTCCTTAATTTGTTTTCTCAGCTCACCTCATGGATGGATGGATGGACTATAAACCGAGATGCAGCAGAACGGTGGTACAGAGCAAAATAAAACTGATGTGCGAGAGCAGGTAAACAATACATTCAGCCTCGCTTCAGCGTCGGCACCGTAGGTCGTGCTGCAGTGAAATCAAGAATTCATGCAGAAAGCAGAAAACTGGACAGTATGTGATGGAAAACTGTTTAATTCTGGAACTCTGGGAACAATTTCTGTTTCAACTTTATTTAAAAAGTTAAGTTAAACTTTAAATCTGGAAGCAGAATGTTCCAGACCCAGATCTCTGTGAGAAAACGGTCTCATGCAGGGTGCCGATTCTAAAGTAACTCATAAAGAAAATAAACAGTTAAATTTAGCCACATTTAGCTCCTCATAATAACATCAAGTCACCTTTTAACCCCATATTACAAATTAGTATCAAACCATCTCTGGCATTAGAGCATCGAGATGGGATATTAACATTAGTGCTGTAATCAAAAACTTGCCACAGTCCCACACGTGTCTGCTGCCCTCTGGTGGCGGATTTATAGGTTACTTTGTTAAATAATTACATGATCAAATAAAAGTGATTATTATATAGTTGCTTTATTACCATTAGACAATAAATAGTTCAGTTTCAACTTTAACTATATGCGTTTAGATTAGATTCTTAGAAATGTGCTTTAAATCTTTTTTTAAATTTGATAAAAACATTTAGCTTAAGTTTGTATATTTCGACTCTATTCTAAATATATGGATTTGTTTAGAAAAATTGGTTTTAATTCAAAATATTTAGAATTCACTTATTCTAAAAATATTAGGCCCAACTATTCATATTTAGATTTTACTTCAAATACTAAGATTTATTTAAAATATTTAGTTCTAACTAAAATATTTAGATTTTGGTCAAAATGATTAGTTTTAAAATGATTTGGAATTGCTACTAAATGTTTAGAGGCAACGTTATATAAATATTACGGAATACTTGTATTATTTGAAGCTAAATGTGGTAAAACATCACTGGTGATTTATTTATGTATTACTTTACAATCCACCCCCCATATTAATGATGCAACACCGTAAAGATGAGTGCATTCTCATGGCTTCAGCTAGAAAAGTGCCTTATCTATCTGGAAATAAACCGAACTCTTTCATATTTATGACATAAATAATGTTATAAAGGGTTTCTTTAGCCTTAATCACAAAAACAGCAGCGTTAAGGTTTTCACCTCCTGTCATGAAGTGTGTGATCCTTTTGAACATCCTGGCATGCTGTTGATGTATCCTTCATCAAGCCTCACAGCTGAACAACATGCAGCCATCAAACTTCACACGTGTCCTGTTTGAAGCATTGTGTTTCATGTGTGAGCATCCGAAACACCCCGCCACACGCTTCTCTTAATTTATCTATCTAATGTGTGTGTGTGTGTGTGTGTGTGTGTGTGTGTGTGTGTGTGTGTGTGTGTGTGTGCGCGCGCGCGCGCTAAAGTGCATGTTTTATCTTTCCATGACCTGAATTCTGGAGAAAACCACAACAAACGGTCTTTGCTGATGTCACCACAGCACAAAAACCACCAAAGCCTTTTTTATATCACAGAAAACTCAGACTAATTCTCCATTAAAGGGAATTTGTTCCTCTTCTGGTTCCTTCCACTTGTATTTATGGATTAGCGATGGAAGGATACGTTCAACAACACAGAAAACTGGATGTGATTCTGCTCTAACTACTAAGCTGCTACTTTTACTCACCCTTTTAGAAAACGTCGACACCCTGAAGGAGCTATTTAATGTTAGATGTACCCACAGAGCGTATGACTCCATAATGACTAATGTCCGTATACTTAATGTTGATTTATTTGTAGAATATTCTGATTGTTTGACTAATCACTTCTAAGTTATACAAGGCAAACGCTGATTTATTTTACTCATTTTGTCCTCTGTGTCACACGATTTAGAGAAGAAAGCTGAGAAGTTATCACGAATAGTGAATGTGTGTTTGTACTTTAAACGTGTCATTTGAAAGATTGTTCACTTGATGAAAATCACATTTTTTCTGTAGTTTGTTTTGTTTCTAAATGATTTAGAAACTTGAAACAAGTGAGGAAATGTTACACAAAATGTGATTGTGAAGGAAGAGCGCTCAACAAATTTCACATCTTTGTACAGTGTACATTACATGAAATAAATATTTTCTGAACAAACTAAGAAGTGAAAAAGACTGCTGTCCCTTTTTTAGCACTGCTATTCTCTGCTGGTGTGGGGCTGTTGTTGTACAGAGAGCCAGACTTATTGTCATTAAACTTCTAACAACTGGCTGCAAAACGTGGTTTTATTATATGTACATTTTACATGGTAAATGCTGAAATAAACATTTTAGTTGAAATAAACATTCACCAAATTAGGCTTACAGATATTTATGATTTTTGAGATATATTGATGCAATAATGTGAAATACAAGTAAGAAGGACAGGATGGAGGATATTGCTCAGCTTGGCTCCAGAGGAATAAAGCCAAAGACCCAGGTTAGAAATCTTGGTGTCATAACTGATTCAGACCTGAGCTTCACTGGTCACATTAAGGCCTAGTCCACACGTAGCCGGTTTTTTTTTAAAACGAATATCCGCCCCTCCAAAAACTTGCATCCACACCACCTCGTTTAAAAAAAACTGTCCACACGTACCCGGATAAATACGTTGTTAAGGACATGCCAGACCTGTAGGCGGCAGTACTTCCCCCGTTCTTAACCTCGTCCTTTGTGGTCTTCCGCAAGGTGCAGTAATTCCGCTTGCAAAAACAAACAAGCAAAAAGCGCTTGGACAATTGATAAAGCGAGCGCAGCTCTGAGGGCATCCATGCTGCCGGCTAGTGTAAACACAGGTCGCACACGTGATGTCAGTATTTTTCTGTCGCGGAAAGTGACGTTGCGGACCTTAAAACTCCGGTTTTGTCCGTCCACACGCAGACACCCAAAACGGAGAAAGTGCAGATCTTCACTTTGGATGGAGTTTTTAAAAAGATCCGTTTTCATGTGGATGACAGGCCAAAACGTAGAAAAATATCTATGTTTTGGTAGATCCCCGGCTACGTGGGAGAGGGCCTCAGGCTATAACACCTTCATCAAATAGCACGACTCAGAGGTCTCATGTCCAGACTAGACCCAGAGAAACTCATTCATGCATTCATCTTCAGCTGGCTGGACTATTGAAATGGTCTTTTGATCGGTCTTCCCTAAAAAGCTGTGAAGCAACAGCAGCTTATTCAAAATGCACTGCTACAGTCTAAACAAGAACCAAGAGAACCGAACCCACCACTCCTGTTCTTAAACCTCTACACTGGTTACCAGTAATCTACAGAATCCATTTCAAAGTGCTTCTACTAGTTTATAAACCACTCAATGTCATGGGGCCAGAATACATGTCGGATCTCCTTCAGGTATCTACGCCCAACAGGGCTCGGAGATCCTCAGGAAGGAGCTGGTAGAACCTCGGGTCAGAACCAAACAGGGTGAGGCTGCTTTTAGCTACTATGCTGCACACATATGGAATCAGCTTCCTCGTGACCTCAAATGTGCCCCAACTCTAGAAACTGTTTAATCAAATTAAAAAACTTTCATGTATTCATCAGTCTTTGAATGAATGCTTCTTATGCTGCACCTTCTGCACTGTAACTGCTCACTGTTTAACTTTGTCTTTTTCTGATTCTTAAATCTAAATTAAATTTGTGTATTTAATTAGCTAAAAATATTTGATTGTGCTGTCATGCTATTCTAATGTTCTTCCAATTCTCACTGCTGGGAAGCACATAGAATAGCCTCAGTGAATTAAATGTACAGTACAAATAAAGCTGCCTTGCCTGATGTAATTGCGTGTGAGTTGCATTACCACTCCATGCCACTAGAGGTGAGAGTGAACTGAGAGGTGAGAGTGAACTGGCACGCTGAGTTGCATTCATTCCATAATGAAGACAAAAGATTTTAATTGAAAAACTCCACAATTCTAACATTATTTCCAAAGAACTGAGCACCAAAAATGACTAAAAACAGTCTAACAAACAAACAAATAAATAAATAAATAAATAAATAAAATAACTGAATAGGCACATTCTGAAATTCTGAGAGGGATGTGACAGTTTGGGTAAATACCATACATGTCAACATAAATAATAATAAAAAAATATTAATGATAATACAGAAATGTTATGATGGCCATTACTAGAAACCAATGTTAAAGGTGCATGCTGCCACCCACTACTTTGGGGTTTATATCCCCAAGCATTTTGTGGACAATGTTTAAATGAAACTCAGTGGGGTGGCCAATCAGATCCCAAGGGTGTCTTGTGCTATCCCAAGCCACTCCCTGGACACGCCTCTAAATGATTCATGGTGCATTTAGTTCCAACCAGAGCCCGGGCCTGTATTAGAGGATTTACGGTATGTGTCAAAAATGCCTGAGTCCATACTTGTGAGAGCACAGGAATGTCCAATAGTGATGGTGAGGGGCCACAGACCTGCCCCCAGAGACCCATGTTTCAGCCAATGTGATGAAAATCTCATTAATTTAATTCTCATTTGCGCTGCTGCAGGGATCATGGGAGCACAGTGATTGGTTTGACAGAATGCTATTCTAGAAAAAATAATCTAGCAAGTTTTCTCTTTATGGAAAGGGTTTTTCCAAGGAAATGTTTCACTTTTATCACATCCTTTTGAAAGAGTTAGCAATCTTTTCAGCTTCAGCTAAACGAACAGATCCTAAACCGTCATTTAGAGATGATTACTATCAGGATTTGTAATTATTGTGTAGTTTGAGCAGATGTTTTTTTTTTTGTGTGTTTTTGTTTTTGTGGTGTGAGAATGTTTGAGTGAATTTTAACGTAAATATTGGTTGCTGTATTGTGGTGTCGGACCCCAGGAAGAGTAGTTGCTGTACGAAGCAGCAGCTAATGGGGATCTAATGAATAAATGAAATGAAAGGACAGTGAAAAATCCAAACATCCATCCATCCATTTTCTTCCACTCATCCGGAATCAGGTCGCCGGGGCAAAAGCCTAAGTCGAGAGGCCCAGACTTCCCTCTGCCCAGCTCTTCCGGTGGACTCCTAAGGCGTTCCCTGGCCAGGCGTGAGACGTAAGCTGTGTCCGAATCCAGGGGTAGGATGCTTGTGAGTACGGGTCCTCGCCGGTCTAGCAAGACCGGGTCCTTGCTAGACCGCTAAAACCGGAAGTCAGCGGCTCTGAATTCGGACAGTACTAGCCTCGTTTTTATTCCCGCCCCCAGGTCCAGTTGCTTAGCTACCGTGACGGCGGCAAACAAGCTGGGAAAATGGATCCAGAAATCTGTTGTCTTTTCCTGTCATACGTATTAGGTAATGACCTGCTTAATCTCCGTCGCCGACGTTATTTTTAAGGCTGAGAAGCAGTCATATCCAGGTATTTATGTTTTAAGCAATTGAAAACCTGTGGCTAAAAGTACAAATTACTATAGAACATACTAACAAGTAGATAAATAATATTGCCCAAATAAATCTTAATTACTAATAAAAATTGATTTGATCTTCATGCTTCTTTGTGTGCATAAAGCTTGTATTCTGCATAAAATAGCATTGAGATATTAATGTTCATTGTCCTTTTCATCTTAACCCTAATGCCTGTGTCTCTTTTAAAAAAGCATTCATTTAAACATTGTCACAGGCAGTTTGTGACCATCAGGGCCGCTTTATTGACACCTATGTGGGCTGGCCTGGGTCGGTCCATGATTCCAGGGCGCTCTGCCATAGCCCACTGTACAGGCAGTCAGCCTATCCTCCTCCAGGACACTTCATCCTCGCAGATGGAGGGTACCCCTGCCTCCAACATCCACTCCCCCTCATCACCCCCTACAAACGGGTGGTTCCAGGTGTGGGAGCCCAGCGCTTCAACAGCCGTCATTCCAGGGCACGCTGCATCATAGAGTGTGCTTATGGAATGAAGAAGACCAGGTTCAGGGCAATCTTCCTGAAAGCGCTGGAGGTGCACCACACCTTTGTACCTCATGTAAGTTAACACACAGTGGAAAGAAATGTTGGATGTATTCTTTGATTTACAATTAAATATGTAATTATGTTTTGTCTGTATTCCAGGTCATCACAGCATGCACCATTCTGCACAACATCTGCCTCAGTGCTGGTGACATTGTGCCGCAGGAGGATGAACCTGAGGATGATGTTGCAGAAGATGAGGGGGAGGCTGGCTTGCACTGTGGTGGGACCAACTTGTTGCTGAGGTGGCTGCTCTGGAGGAGGTACCACCAGACCACGATTACTGTTAGCAGGCAAGTAATTTATGTAGGGATCTCTGATTTATAAAAGCATTGTCTTTTGATCTGCTAGTTACACGTATTTTATTAATAAATCCATATATCTCCTTTTGCATATATCTGAATGTTAGTGATGTGACAGCCGTTGATTGAGCCAGCCCAGCAAACCCTTTGGATGGACGATGCAGTGGACAGTGAGACGATGCATCCAGAAGCACCCTCTGCAGACCTCCCTGTGTGATGTTCCACTCTCCAACCAGAAAAGTCCAGGCACTGGTCTCAGTTCCAGCACTCCATCCCATCTCAGGGATCCATGTGCTACAGATTTATCACCACCAAAGACCTCCTGTTTACCAAATTCAAATAAACGTCCAGGAAAAGTCACTCAGGTTAATCCTGCTTTAAATGCACATACTTGTTATATTGTTGTTATCTTCAAATGATTTCTATGTATTACTGTTTCCCCTCACCATTAATATATCCTGTTGTTACGTAAAAAAATCTGAATAATAATAAAACTGTTAAAATGATCCGAAAGGAGTTATCAATTAATAGACATTGTATTACATTTAATCAAATGTCAAATACATTCCAAAACAAAACATTTGATTACATTCCAAAAAATATAGAATTTAATAACATTCCAAAAAATATGGAATTTAATAACAAATATCTTGAACCAGAACAAAAACTAATTTAAATTAAACTATTTCTCCACCATTCTCTCCATCAGGGCTAGAAATATTTCCATCATCCTTTCTCTCCTCTCCTCCGCTTCCCTCTGCTGTCTGATGTCCTCCCTGATGACGTCAAGGAGTTCATCATCCCTGCTGCACTTTCTTTTTCGTCCTGATGTTGTCGGCTGACTCTCACCACTCTCCATCTCATCTGTGTCCCCCACTGCTGCACTTGGCCCTGGTGTGTCCT